CTGATTTGCATAACTATTTATTTTCAATCTGTGATTTTAACAATAGGTTTGTTTTGCCAAAATTAGAATTTTTTTCTAATTTTCTCCCCAATGATATTTGTTGTTTCCCCATATACTTACGTATGGTTCTATGGGCAATGGTTACCGTCTGGTACCCTGCCCAAATGGACATTGCTTATGTGGGAGCTGTTGGCCTCTACAACTCCTCCCTCCATAGGTTGCAGATCATCCAGAGTTCTGGATGATCTGCAACCTATGGAGGGAGGAGCGTGTCCTCTCCCGCATCAGGCTCTGCGACCCCATCACCCCCTTATTGCCCGCCTCCACTGGATTCCCATCACACAGAGGTTCAAGATCCTGGTCCTCACTTTCAAAGTGCTCCCTGGCCTTGGTCTCCCCTACCTCTGCGACTTCCTAACTCCCTACCAACTTGCCCGCTCCCTCTGCTCAGCGGACTCCGGCCTGCTTCACATCCCCCGTCTCGCCTGCCCCACCATTGGTGGGCGGACCTTCAGCCACTCTGCCCCCACCCTCTGGAACTCCATCCTGCAGTCCCTCCGCCTCGTCCCCTCCTTTACCTCCTTCAAGACCCTCCTCTTCGTCCGTGCCTTCAGTCACCCTCCTTCTCCATCTGCCCTCTACCGTCCCTGATCCCGAACCTCAGCTTGGGTCCAAAATACTGATTGTCCAGCGCTTTGGGGCGTCCTCCCAATGTGAAAGACGCTAAACAAATATAATTTTGTTGTTGTTATTGTTGGCAGTGAGTGTCAGCTAGCCAGAGACTCCACTGCAGCGGGAATGGCCTCATCTCATCGGGAGTCCTGTAGCTCAGTGGTTAGAGCACTTGCCTTGCAAGCGAGAGACCTGGGTTCTATTCCCGGCAGGGCGAAACCTTGGGCAAGTTTCCTTACGTCTCTGTTTACCTAGCAGTAAGTAGGAACCTGGTTGATAGTCGATTGGTGGATCACTTTTCCGGGGATAATACCTAAAAAACTATATAATAATTTGGTCACTCAATCCACGACTGTTTGTGGGACACTGCTGTGCACAATTGGCTGCCGCGTTTTGCCCACAAATATAGTCAAGTCACTTTATAATATATTCTGTGAAGCGTTTTGAGACGTCTAGAAGACGTGATAAGGCGCTATATCATACGCAAGGATTATTATTATTATCTGCTGTCACTCACACTCGCTACCAGTAGATGGTGCTATAGAGGGACCAGGACTGGTAATGCTGGTGTTGCCCTCCCTTAACTTGGGAAGGTTGGGTGGGGACAATTTAGTCTTCTCTTCCCGAGCAGCTCTGGCTGAGACAAAGCAGCGCAGACCAAGTCTATTCACCGCACTGTCAGGGTTACCCCAACCACAGAAATGTTATTGAATTTATTTGCATTATTGAAGAAATTAATTATTTAATCTTATTAATAAAGATCCTTTGTTTCTTTTATAGTTAAATTGTGAAAATATATTTCGATTAACAGTACTTTATTTTTATAACAAGTACTTAGGCTATTGGAATACAATATTCTTATATCCCAAGCATGCAAGGTTAATACGATTTGACTATAATTGCCATCAATAAGCGATCATTGTGTGGTTCCTAAAACCAGCCATATTAAAGAGCCACAATAAGTTATTTATGCATTACAATAGATTCTGTAACAATAATAGAACCCATTTAAAACTATATACTGATAAGCAGTTTAGTATTAGAAAATGCTTCATCAGAACCAGAATAGCATGATCAGACAATGGCAGCTCACTAATATATAGAATAAATGTATTTCAAGATCCAGACCAATTAAGCAATTAAATTAAACTCAGTTCACTTTACAGTACATTCTGTTAAGCGCTTTGAGACATCTCAGTGACGTGATAAGGCACTATATCAAATGCAAGGATTATTATTGTAAGCAGAGAAGGTGTAAGGAATCAGAAATAGTAAACATGTATACAAGTAATAATAATCCTCGCATTTCATATAGCGCCTTATCACATCTTTGAGACGGCTCAAAGCGCTTCACAGAATATATTGTAAAGTTGATTGACTATTTTGTGGAAGGAATGGGTGATGTTAATGATATTCATCAAACTTTTCCAGTCAATCTGAAATTATCAATAAAGCTAATCAAACACTTTGTTGAAACTAGAGCCTTGTGGACTATAAATCAAAAGGACATATTTTAATTTAGTACAAATCACTGATAGGTTTGGAATATAGTGCACAATTGTGGGAACCCTAACTTTAATAGGATATTAAATTATTCAGGGTGGTTTCAGAGTGACAAGAATAATAATTTATGAGTTAGCACTAAGTTGAGAGGAGATTTACAGAGAACATTGGAAAAAGTAGAATTGGTGTGTGTGTGGCTAGAGAGAAGGAACATTACATATTTTTGAGTACATCTAGAGGCCTAGAAAATGTAGATGCAAGCTTGTCTTAGATGATGAGAACAGATACTATATAAATTGATACACAAAGCAAGCTCCCAACAAAAGTTGATGCTGTGTTGATTAACTCCTTAAAGCAAGATAACTATCTGCTTAGGAGCAATAATGAGGGTTATTGAGATGGGTACAGAAGAAGATGACAACTACTTCAAAGAATATTGTGTGGAGGAGGAGTAGGAGACATGGACCAAGATTGACAAATAATTACGGGTCAGATGGATATTATGGAGTTTTAGCCAGGTGATGAGATATTATCTACAGAATCTTCTGCAGGAGACAGAGTGGGTAGGTGGATGCATGATAGGGTAAGTCTTTGGCTAAGCCTTTAAATGGATGAGACAAATATTTATATTTTCATTCTATTATGTTCTGGTTCCATGTTCAGGTGGATGTTAAAGATCCCACAGCATTATTCGAAAAGAGAAGAGAGTTTCTCCTCTGGCCAACAATCCCCCAAATAAAATTGGTCACTCATTCCATAGTTGTTTGTGGGACACAGCTGTTCCCAACTGGCTGCTGTGTTATGCCCATAAAATACCGTCACTCCACTTTACACAAAGCACTTTGAGACATCTTGATTACGTGATAAGGCATTATATCAAATGCAAGGATTCTTCTTCTTGAAGACTTACTTCGAAACTGAACACATTTCTGGAAAATTGATGCATTTTCATTGGAGAATGTCTCATTGTTTCTAGTATATCACACTATAGATGTGTAGCTAGATTCTGGACTCAGTGGGAGAAAAATAAATTCACTTCAAATAATTGATAGTTTGAAGAGAAATTTGTTGAAACAATAACAGAATTCATCAGCAAAATTATTCCTTCCGTTAGTTCTACCATTGATAATAGGTTGTATAAACTAATATAGGTATATATACTCAAAAAATGGAATATCCTATTTAATAAATCCAGGTTGGTTTATTTGAATTCAGATTAAGTGATTTACAGTATTTTCATCCAGTGTGATGAATATTGCTAGCAAGAAAAATCTTAACAAAATGGAACTAAAACACCATTTTTCACACGCAATTCCAACTGTATTTACTATAAGGATAACAATGGTTATGCAATGCAATGCAATTAATTAATGCAATTAAAAATTCAGGTCGCTGTTAATATACCAATCAATATTTGCACTTGTTTTACAATAGAACCCCTTGATACTTTACTGCACTGAAACAGTCTAGTTTATGTATTACGTTTTTAAAATATACAAAATGTGATTAACTAGCTTTAGCTACTCTACGGTGTTGGCTAATATAAGATATCATACACGTCTGATAAAATTAGCTTGTGGTCAACTTTTTGAGTCATGTAATCTCTAAATTTCATAAGACTGCATGTTCAGACCCATTACTGCTTACTTTGTATTTTTTATTTAATATATTTACCAATTTCCTCATACCTAGAAGAAGCACTTCTTAAAATAGTTCACTTCCCAGTATTTATTGCAAGACACTTGTTTCTTCAGAGGAGATTCGTTTGTTGGCAGTATAGAAATTCAAGTTTTGTAAAAGGTCACAAAAATGCAACACAGTTCACCAAAATCATTAGTAACAAAATCCAACAACAGCAATTCTCCACTCAAAATCCTAGCATGTTGAATATTTTACTCACAATAACTTTTTTCAAAAAAGACCATTTTTTTTCATTTGATTACATTTTACAGGGCTATTCTTATTGTCTCACATATGCTCAACCATTTTCATAATATTAGGGCCATGACAAATAAGATACCGTTATACTACAGTTGGTGAATCAGCAAATAATTAAGTATTTAATAAATAGTAGTCATTTATTCAATTTAGCTTAGAGTGTAAATTTGCACTTATTGACCTCAGACACAGCAGCCCTAACTGCAATTCCTGGAGCGAAGGAAACTACAGAGATGGGAATTCCTGACTTAATATTAATCCATAATATTCCATTTTATATTTTTATATTGTATATAATATCAGGGCCATGACAAATTCGATACCGTCATATTACAGTTTATATTTTATATTTAATTTATATATTATAAATAAAAAATTATTATTTATTTTGTTATTTTATATAATTTTATTATATAAATATATATATAAATAATTATAAAATAAATAAAAATAAAGCTGCTTAGATTCAGTTCATGGTCCTAAAATGATCCAGTCAATACAATTACTGGTACATTTATATTACAGTATAGCAGAGATTTGTATTTATAATATATAATAATTTATATTTATATTATAATATATTTTATTATTTTATATTTAAATGTAAAGTTTCCTTACTCCACACACCTGATAATAATCCCTCAAGAAAAAAAAACCAATAATAACTTCGTCACTTCAAACCACGATTGTTTGTGGGACACTGCTGTGTGCAATTGGCTGCCGCATTTCGCCCACAAAAAATACAGTCAATTCATTTTACAGTCTATTCTGTGAAGCGCTTTGAGACGTCTAGAAAATGTGAAAAGCGCTCTATCAAATGCAAGGATTATTATTATATTATTATATAATAAAATGACTTTTTTTTAAAAAAAATTCTTTACTCTTCATTGAGGTCAGCCTGCATTTTATTAGTCTATCAACTCAGCATCAGAGGATCATACACCTTCAATTACCATTCTTGCTTGATTTGCGAGGAGAATGGGCAGAAGAGGCCTTTTCAGACATCAATCTTTCCCATCTCTTTGCAGGAAAGCACTCATTTGATAACCAGACCGCTGCTGAGAACTTCTCATAGGAATCATGAGTGTAAAATCCTGTGAAGTAGTCCGAGAGAGCACTCGTGACACATTATATCACAAAAGAACAAAAAGAACAATCGCTTTTACTATATTATACTGTAAGTGTGCTTGTTAGATTTATCAATTGAAAAAGTACATTATATATAAACTGTGACACAAATAAATGTAACAAAGTTTACAGAAATAGGAATTTCATAACCTCATTCAAAATAAAATAGACCTACATTTTTACACAAATTTGCACATGCAGATTTCTTATCATACATTTATTCAGATCCGAAGTACTCTGCGTGGGTTTTTATTAAAAGGATTAAAAGGTGGAATTGTTGCCACTATCTTAGCGAAGGGTGCATGATGTTTATACTTCAAGGCTGCTTCCCCACTTTGAGGATATCTAAAAAAAAAGAAACTCCAAGTCAATCAAGATCAACCTCTGTACTTTATTAATTCAGGTATACCAAGTTATTCTTAATTTGAAATAATTATTTTCTTCTTTAGAATGTCAAACCACAAACAGCATTAGAAAGCAAGATTCAGAAACTGAATTTGAGAAAATAATTTTTTTTAAAAATCACACAGCCACTAATACTTCATCTAAAATCAATCTGAATGATAATTTTGATCCCAAATAACAGCTCTGTGTACAGATTGAAAACATCTTAGATACATTCAAATCCCAGCTTCACTTTCCTGATTAAAGTGAAGCTGGGTCTTCCACCAGTCTTCTCCACAGAAGGAAGGAAAAATACTCCAGATCACTTATCACCAATAGAAGCACACTTTTTCTCAACCAACGATCAGGATTGGCTGTGGTCCTATGTCCTTAATATAGCTGCCAGCAGGATACCACTTTCTTTTCTGGATGTGAAGATTGTGGTTTGAAGCTCCATTTGGGTCTTGAGCTCATTCACTAGAGTAATATGCCAGTCAAGTACTGCGAGAATGCTGCATCCCAGCTCGGATGCACATCTTTGACTATCCAGCGCTTTGGGACAACAACAACTTGCATTTATATAGTGCCCTTCATGTGGGGTACTGTCCCGGAACGCTTCACAGTGGCAGAGTCTGACAATGTGAAAGGTGCTATACAAATGTAATCTGTTGCAATTGTTGAATTGTTGGTGCTATTGTTGGAAATGCCGTTCTTTGCACAAGACATTAAACCAAGTTCCCATCTGCCTATTCTTAATGTGGACGTTAAAAGATCCCTGAGAAAAATAATTCTGTTTATTTCCTGGTTGCAATTGAAACTTCGCTGTAGGCAATAAGTTGTCTTCATGAAGTACAGTGTTTCTATCAGTAGATGGCAGTACTGCTTTTTGTAAAACTGATTTGCAATTAATTCCACACATTTTGTAGACATCTACAAAATCCCACTTCATTCATTTGAAGGTAGACAGCAGTTTGAACTTTGAGGCTGATCACCTCAGTTATGGTTTGTACACTATACTACAGACCTACTTGTATTGTTACCATATAACTTTTTCATTATACATAACTGCTTTCCGTTGCTTGAAATTATAGCTAGAACAAGAACAGAATATGAAAACGATAAGCAAGATTCGAAAGGTTAACTACTTACCCAGTCCCATACATTTGGTCTGCAGTTGGTGAAAATGTTCTGAAGTCACCTTGGGTGGCTGGCCATAGCCACTTATCCGTATGAAGATTTGGACGACTAAAGACAAGAAAATGAATACTTATTATTGGTACTGGGGCTAAAGAAATCAAATGGAACTGAAATTTAATGTGAGGTAAGAGTTATTTAGGTCATTAAACTATAAGTCCAAAAATTTAAGGTACAATTTTAAAACTTACAAATCTAGTCATACCAGAATTACTAAACACGTAGTAATGTTTTTACTATCATTTAGTAAAATTGTCTTCTAAAAATGTAAATGAGCAGAAAAAATTAAAAAGCTAAATCCTACGTTTTCACAATCAATACACTGTTTTATCCTTTTAATCCTTTTTAATGAATGTATTAAAAAGCTAAACCTCAGATTTGATTTTACAATACTGTATTTAGCACAATAGTCACATATAGTCTAAAAGCCTTGACTCCTGACAACTAAATGTCATGATTAGATGCAAATTATCAAGAGCTGAGGCTTTGGAACTTCAGAGTGCATGTTGGATCATGCTGGAGTTTAACCAGCTAAAACCTCATAGCTTGCCATTGAAAGAGCCCTATCTGGCAAGCTTTCCTGCTGCTTGCCAAGCTAGGACTACACTACCCATACCCGTTTGGGCTCACAAAGGCAGACCAGAAAGGTTAACAGGAGCTGAGTGGGAAGAATCCTTGCTCACAGCTACTGGTCTGCCTTTCCAAGTCCTTTCAATGAACCAGGCTGGCTGGTCAGTCAACAACAGTGCTCTTGAGCACTGCAAACCCACCTGGCTCAGGAACGCGACCACCATGACTGCTGCAGAGGATTAACCCGATTCTGACATTATGTTGCCCTCTCCACCCCCTCCCGATAATTTTTACATATCCAATATGGAGTATTTATACATATTAAATGCTATGGTTTTAAACATGTTATTTTTTCCTCAACTGAGATTTATTTCAGCTTTTTCATTTCTTTAAGATTTCTAATTCCAAAATTGTTTTCTTTTGTTGTTCTGGGTCTTATCTGGTGTTAAACAAACATCAAATTCCTCTCGTCTTTGAAAACGTACACTAATGCCACTATAAGAATTGCACAGCAAAACAAAATAGGATAAGGTAAGGATAGTCATACTGGTGCTTCAATTTGAAATTTTTAAATACGTACTGAGTTACATCTTGGTATTGTTTTGGAGCTTGGGTTCGAACCATTGTGAAGGGGGTAAATTCAGCATGAGGGTTGTCCACATTCTCTGTATTAATACCACCAAAACAGCCACTATCAACAAAAAACAATGACACTCAGGTTACTCCAAATTTACCATCTGTTAAAATTACTAGCAATTATGTTATGTTACATTAAGAGTGCCTTACCTATAGAGTGGGATCTGATGAATTCTGGGAAAAGGGCTTGAGCTGGAAATGGTAAAAGTTAATTTGTGATTTTAAAGTATTAAAGTCAAGCTCTTAAAGCCTTTATTTTTTATTCATAGAATAAACCAAATTTCTAAGGTCCTCTCACACAATGAAAAGTTCAATAATAAGTGAACATTTAGACAATTTTTAAACTAATTTTACTTTTGCAATTTTCTAAATTCTCAACAGATTTAATATCCAAGATGTATCAATAGAGTTGCAATTTTCTTTAAAAAGTACTTACTGGCACAATGTAAGAGATTTGTTTGTGAGGTCAAGTTGATTAATCCTAATGTACTTGGGTAAACAGAATGTGTCATCTTGGATGGATGTGGGTTCAAGCCCAACGTTGTGACTTTGAGGTCAGTCTAGGCTGATGCTGCAATGGTGGGGTTGTGTGGCATTGTCAAATGTCTTTCAGATGAGACATTAAACCGAGGTTCAGTCTGCTGATTCAGATGGATATTAATTTAGACCCATGTATTATTCAAAATGAAATGGGAGTTTATCCTGGTGTCCAAGCCAACAAACCCCCAGATAAAATTGGTCATTCGTTTCATGACTGCTTGTGGGAAATTGCTCTGCGTAAATTGGTTGCTGCGTTTGCCTACATAATAGTCACAAAACTTTATAGTAAATCCTATGAAGTGCTTTAAGACCACTCAGGAATGTAATAAGGCTCTATATAAAATGCCAGAATTATTATATTACTTTACTCACAATGTGATTGGTTTGGTTACGTTATTCAGGGGCCGAGATTGAAATTTGTCCCAGATTCCAAATCCAGTAATAGCCTAGGAAAAAGTGCAAACAATTGAAAGTAATCCATGGCTGCAATTTATTTACATGTTAGCTACACAAATTCACACAAATAAGGTAGTTGAAAATAATGCATACATGAGTATTAGCCTGGCTCAGTTGTGGGTTCAAGCCTCACACTGGGACTTGAATCCACAACTGGGTTCAAGCATTACACTGGAGTATCATATTAGACTATGAGTCAGATAGTCTAAAATGACACTTCAATGCAATGCTGTAGGTCAATCTATTTTGTCAGAGGTGCCATCCTTCGGATGAGAATTTAACACAGGAATTGTCTGCCAGTTCTGGTGGATGTTAAACATCCCATGGCACTATTCAAAAAGGGAATTTCTCCCAATGTCGTGGCCAGCAACGCCACCCCACCCCCCAAATAAAATTGCATTTAGTTATGTTGAATTGGAGGTTACAGGAATATTGTTCCCCTGTGGAACACTGATAATGTTCTTTCATTCAATTCCTTAAAGACACAGGCCCTAAGGTTTTTTTAATAAAACTTTAAAATGCTCAAATTCATGTAGTCACTGCAGTGGCAAAGGCTGCGTCAATTGATGAATTGTTTTAGATTTTAGGACACTCAGCATTCCTACGCTTCTGAAAGCATAGTAAAAATTATGAGCAAACAGGAAGCAAAACCAATTTAAATTGTAATAAAAACTTTTAAAGAGGAACTCATGCAATTGTAGATGGTACATTGAAAAATGACACAATTGACATTTTTTGCGTAGATGCAATTCTCACTATGTGGCTCACAAAGAGTTACTGGTGTTTGTTACCCACCTACCTGCTATCTGCTATCTTCATTAGACAATGCTAGCAGTTGTCAAACGAAGCTGTCTAATTTCTATGGGAGTGGTAAACAGAGTCCTTTGGGGCTGAGCGATGTATAAGTTTGAGCTTGTGGAGGTTGGAGATAGGGAGACTGGGAAGGAGAATATTGGAATATTGGAGACTAAAGTTGAAAGTGTGAGTGAATGCTTCAGTTGCAGAGGAGGTGCGATAGGGAATTAAGTCCACAATGCTCCAATTAGAATAAATCAATTTTGGTCAAGTACCACATCTAGGGTTTGAAGCACAGATGTTTTGACCAGGTGTCTGACACATGTGGAAACCCATCACCACGTTGTGAGTCAGCCTGCCTCAGTGGTAGCACTCTCTCTCTGTTAAAAGGTTGTGGGTTCAAGCTCCATGTCAGGACTTGGAATCACATTGTTGAAGCTGACACTTCAATGCAGTGCTGAAGGTATGTTGGACTGTGACAGCTAATCCTTGCTGTCATATCTCATATCTGCTATCCTTCGGATGAGATATTTAACCAAATTATTATTATTTAAAATAATAATAATTTGGTCACTTAACCCATGACTGTTTGTGGGACACTGCTGTGCATAATTGGCTGCTGCGTTTCGCCCACAAAACATGTAGTCAATTAATTTCACAGTATATTCTGCGAAGCGCTTTAAGACATGTAGAAGACATGATAAGGCACTGTATCAAATGCAAGGATTATTATTTTATTATTAAGTCTAACCATGTCTGTCTCTTCAAGTGAACTGTGTAGATCTCCTGGTGTTCTAGCCAACAATCCCCGAAATTTAGCGTCAGCTTGGCTCAGCGGTAGCACTCGCCACTGAGTCAGAAAGTTGTGGGTTTGAATTCCATATCGGGACTTTAACCCACAATCTAGCCTGAAACTCCAATGCAATGCTGAAGGTGTGTTGCATCGTCGGAGATCTTTTGGTTGAGATATTAAACCGAGATGTGGACGTTTGAGATCTAATGGCGCTATTTGAAAAGAGAAGGGAGTTCTTCCGGTGTCCTGGCTAACAGTCCCGCAAAACAAAATTGGGCATTCATTTCAAGGCTGTTCGCAATTGTGCTGCCGCATTTGTCTACATATGTACTGTTACTCCACAGTAAATCCTGTGAAGTGCTTTAAGGCATCCTTCCAATGTGGTAAGGCACTATACCAAATGCAAGGATTATTATTATTATAAAATTGGTCTCTCACTCCATGGTTGTTTGTGGTACATTGCTGTGTACCGACCGGATGGGTTACATCCAAAAAATACATAATCCAACCAACTACATTATATTCTGTGAAGCGCTCGGAGATGTCGCGACAACGTGATAAGGTACTATATCAAATGTAAGGATTAATTATTAAGAGAATCCAAACTAAAAGTAAGAGTTCTATTCTTTACACCAATATATGGAAATTTCAGAAATGTTTATTGGACTGGAATGCACACTCTCTTCCTGGGGGAGGCATCCTGCTTACCTAATCCCAGAGAGTATTAGCTGCAAGTTAATAAGATTCAAGACTGGGGACCCCAGCATGTGCATTGGGGTACTGCCGGTATCTAACTAGCTAAAACTGCATAGCTTGCCATTGATAGCACCGTCTGGCAAGCTTTCCCACTGCTTGTCCAGCTAGGACCCCCTACTATTAGGACTTGGCTTACAGGGTTAACAGCAGCTGAGTGGTAAAGGTCTCTGCGCCACTGGATTGGTCTGTCCTTCTAAGTGTTGCCAATGAGCCAAGCTGGCTGTGCTGCCACCTGCAGTCCTCTGAAATACTGTGGACAAAACAGCTGAGAGGAGGTGGAGGAGGATAGAATGGTCCACAGTGTTGAAGGCAGCATATAGGTCAAGGAGGACGAGGAGACAGGAGCCTTGGTCACAGATTTGTAACTTTGACCAAGGTTGTTTCTATGCTGTGGGAAGCACAGAAACCCAATTTGAGTGGTTCGTAGAGGGAGTGGTGATAGAGGAAGGAGCAAAGCTGGAAAGGAAAGGAGGTTGGAGATGGGGTGATTTCAAACATAAAAAAGGACAATTCATGTAAATACTTACTTGCCATTGTTGAGTAGTTGGTTCGTATCTATTCGCATTAGAACTTAGCGTGACACGGTCAGTCTTCTTTTCCTGCGTTGCATCTGGTGGTTTGATTTTAGGTGGCAACTTGGCGTCCCAATGAACGTCCTCATAACTCCTGTACATTTACATAAATTACAAATGAACATACAGAATACGTAAATGCCCTCAGTGAATATAATAAGTACAGCTATAAATTGACAAACATGCCACAGGTAACACATTAAAATGAAATTTATTTGCAAGAACTAGTAAGTAAAATTCCAACCCAATCATTTATAACCTGCAGTTTCAATTTAGAAATTCCTTAAGAATCAATTTAGAAATAGTAAACTTCTGAAACTCAACCCTGCCTTAACTTGTCACCACTATTTAATTCGCCAAGCTATCAATATCCTAGCGATTTCCCATGCAAAATGTTAATAAGAGGCTCCGCTTGTCACTCCACTTAACACGTCGTATTCCAGAATGTAGTACTTACAAAATAAAATTGATTACTTATCCTATAAGATGGCTTTGTGCATCACAGAGGCCTCCCGCTCTACCGTGACTCGTGCGAGCACCCGTCGGAAATTGGGTGCACATTATCAAATGCATTGCAAAGGCCTCTGGTCTATTGGAAGGCTGCACCATGGCCTCCTGTCCCCCTCCCGGCCTCTGTGATGTATTTGAACGTGCACGCCCAACCTCTGCCAAGCCACAGCACTCCTTGTGGCCCGAGAAGGACTATCCCTAACTCGCCAGCCGGGTAACATCATCGCATTGAGCTCTTTTCCCTTGGTGGGATGAGTTATCTGGAGTTTACAGTATGAATTACAAGAATATAATAATCCTTGCATTTGAAATAGCATTTTTCATGTCTTCTAGACGTCTCAAAGCTCTACACAGAATATACTGTAAAGCGAATTGACTGTGTATTTGTGGGCGAAATGCGGCAGCCAATTGCGCACAGCAGTGTCCCATAAACCGTCGTGGATTGAAGTGATCAATTCATTATTTATTTTTTTCTTGAGGGATTATTATTAGGCGTGTGGAGTAAGGAAATTTGCCCAAGGTTTCGCCCTACCGGGAATCGAACCCAGGTCTCTTGGTTGCGAGGTGAGTGCTTGAACCACTGAGCTACAGGACTCCACTATACAGGAAGCACTTCTACCCCCCACCCCACACCATTGTCAACACTGTTTTTCATGATTTTTATCTTCTTGCTTATGGTCAATGAATTCCACAGAAGGCAGCCATTTGGCCCATCAAGTCTGTGTAGAGTAAGCTGCACTTTCAATCTACTGTCCTGCAGTCAATCCACGACTGTTGTATGGTTTTCCCTCACAAAATATACAGTCAATTGACTTTGCAGTATATTCTGTGAAGCGCTTCGAGATGTCTCAAAGACATGATGCAAGGATTATTATTAAAAACAAACCTTTAGATAAAAAACTTCCGGATCCTTCACTACAGCTTCATTATAATCCTTTACTAAATGTCATTTTCAACATGGTTTGTCTGATTTTTGATAGTGGGACTCACTGGACTGGTGCAAATCATTTATTAACATTAGCACAAGTGTATTTTCTAGGCAATGTTTAAAGGAGAGCTCTAAAATTTCTCCATGTAGTTCAGACTAATGTTGAATGCACAACGTAACTGCTCATATTTACATGAGGATACTGAATTGATACACAGTTTAACTGCTTCACATCTAGGAAGTTAACATTTATAGTATTTCATCAACAATGTAGCATTGATCAGCACTGCGTTTATTTCTTATCTGCCATCCTTCTATTTCTACAGCACTGAACAGGGAGATATAACTCCATCTAGTGACCACAATGTGAAAAGAGTGCATATACAGTAACGCTGAATATATAATTCAGTCAGTTTTAACTTGATGTTCTTAAAGAAACTCATTTTAGGCTACACTAGTTATTAGTAGCCCCAGTCAATCAATTTTCAGAGCCGGGGGGGAAGCAGAGCCGTAGAGCTTCAAAGCAAGCGCTGTCTGGCAAGATTTCTCACTGCTTGTCCAGCTAGGACCACCCTACCTGTTAGGCCTTTGGCTTGCAGGGTTAACAGGAGCTGAGTAGGAAGAGTCCTGCTCCTATTGACTGGTCTGCCCTTCAGCAGTGCCCTGGAGTACTGCAAATCCACCTGATTCAGGAACTGGACTACCAGGACCGTCACAGAGGGCTGACTCGATTTTGACATTCCTTTGCCAAACACATTGGATTCAGTTATTCTCCAAGTAAACCCCACTTATCTCCCCTCCAAGGAGGATAGTCACTAGTTGGCCATTTGACATCCGACGAGGACCTTTATAGTGCAGCTTGTGACGCGCTAGCCACCTTGATGTTCTCGAGGTAAAAATCCAATGCACCAGCTGCTTAATCCAGGTCCTCACATGAGGAGCTTTGGCAAATAGGTGTGCCCGCTGTGAAGCCAACACGGCGTCTGCCTCCAGGGTGCTCAGTGACAGGTCAGTGCCAGAGCCATCCCTTCCTGCAGTCGCTTCCCGTATTTGCCACAAATCTACTTCACTGCTTAACCCTGGACTTTGAGACTGGAGGTTGCCTCTCCGCTGCATCCCCAGGAGCTTAGATCCAAAAGGAGTACTCTTTGCAACCTTTGCAACCCCATTGGGACCTTGGTGTACCTGAACTGAGACGAGCACAATCAGAGTCCTTCGCCCCTTCTCTGGTTTGAAACCATAACCTTCTGATTAAGAGGCAAGAATACTATCAACCGGCCCAGGCTGACACATATCCACTTTCAAAGAATTATAGAATCATAGAATCTTACAGCACAGAAGGAAGCCATTCGGCCTATCGTGCCTATGCCGGGTCTTCAAAAGAGTGAACAAATACTCCCACTACCCCACTCTTAGTCCACAGCCTTGCAAATTTTTCCTTTTTAAGTACCTATCTAAATCCCTTTTGAAAGCTATTATCGAATCTGCTTTCACCACCCTTTAAGGCAAATGCAGTTCAGACTGTAAAAACTCTCTGGGTTAAAACAATTCTCCTTGTCTCTTCTCTTTTGACAATTATCTTAAATCTGTATTCTCTGATCATTGATCCACCCACCAGAGGAAACAGTTTCTACCTATCTACCCTATCAAAACACTTATATTAAATCTCTGCTCTAAGAAGAATAATGTCTCTCTAGTCTTTCCACACAAGTGTAGTCCCTCATCCCTACAATTCTGCAGAATTTATTCCAAAACCAACCAAAATGCTTGTAAAATTTGAAAGCGAGGCCTATAAAACAATTTACAATATTGTAGCATTAATAACTTCTCTGAAAATAATGCATTTTTGTCAAGCATCTTAGAATTAATTATTGCGTGGTAACTAGAGACTAGGGCATTACGTATCGTCACCATCACCTTAAAATGAGCATTATCCTAAAATTCATCATCATAGATGAACAGAATCTCTTATCCTCACCTTTGGGTCATTGATGTGTACATATATTTCCTTGCTATCAGGTCTCTCTCAATATCAGATCCATCACCTGGAACCTATAACTCAATGCATACAAAATACACTGCTCAATATTCCACATTTTACAGCATGATAAATAAAACCACATAACTGCAACCACTAAATGGTTATCTGAAAAAACAATAGTACAGGGTGTCCACAAAGTCCTTTTACTCCTATTACAAAACAACGATATGTGACTGCTGAGGAGCTGGAACAAGCTGTCACTCCATACATATTGCGGAAAGTGTCACACCAAACATGGAGACAGATCAATATCTGCAATGAAAATGATGGCGCTCACACCGATCGTCTGATATAGTTAAAAACTTTTATTGAATACAATTAAGGATTTCTACATACAATTATCAACATTTTTCCATGTGTTTCAGTGGTCATTGAACTGTGTAAAACAAAATGACATAATAGGACTTTGTGAAGACCCTGTACATGTGATCTGACATTTTGCTGACTTGTCATACCTGTTCCGAAGGATCCACCACAAAGTTAAAATTATGGGTTTTAAAAGAGGAAGGTACTCGGGGAGATGATGGTGTAACCCTCACTGGACTTGTCCAACCTAAAAACGTAAAATAGAATTAAAATGCTCTACTTAATGTGTCACTATTCCATTTACTTCTCTTTCTTAGAACCCAGTTCTATGCAGTTTCATAACTGCCAACAGCCTTCTGCTATCTCACACAAATATGTGAAGAAGGTTGGGGGGGGGGGAGTGGCCGCAAGGAGGGAGGGCCCTCACTGACCATTTCTGAGCACCCTGGAGGTGGAGTCAGCTATTTGCCAAAGCCCCTCACATGAGGGTCTGGATTAATGTGAGGATGGTGGGGAGGCAAACACACTGATTGTCAATCTTGTCTTCATTCTGCATCCACATGAATGCATATTCCAGCAGGATCAATGGATAACAGTCAAGACAAGGAACCCTGACATTTTTTCATCTCCTGCCCAAGGGGCACTTAAGCCAATTGATGTGTTCCTGCCACCTTGGTTGAGATTGGCTGAGTAAGAGTCTGTGAATGTTAATTTTACAATAAATGTACAAGAAAATCCTATCTACAATATTTTTATAAACAACTTGATTATTAAAACAAATAAAAAATATAATGTTTCTGTTAAAAGATGTGCTGAATTTGTTATTTACAAATACAATATCAAAACTACCACTGGACAAGTTTACAAAACGCTGATTCTCAAAAAGTCAATGCAACATAAAATGACTTGTACTATGGCCTTAAGTCATATTACCATATGAACATGGTCTCTACTTAAACTACCATTCTGAATGCACATAGCAAACCAGATTTCACACCTTTGTTCAGCTTTGAATACATTTCCAGATCTCTTACAAAATAACTAACCATTGCTTCCAGCACAATAGCGAATCAGAGTGATAAACCTAATTTGTATATAGCTTCTCTGAATTGCACTTGCCAAGATGGACACATCTGTATATTAACAACTATGAATATGATAATCCTTGCATTTGATATAGTGCTTTATCACAGCTTTGAGACGTCTCAAAGCGCTTCACAGAACATACTGAAACGTAAATTGACTGTACATTTTGTGGGCGAAATGCGGCAGCCAGTTGCGCACAGCAGCGACCCACAAACAGACGTGGATTGAAGTGACCAACGTATTATTTTTTGAAGCCCTGGAAAAGTGATCCACCAATCGACTACCAATGGGTTCCTACTGACTGCTCAGTGCACAGAGGGGGTGCAGTTTGGGAAGTTGCCTGATGTTTCGCCCGGGAATCAAACCCAAACGGTCTCGCCTCGCCACGAGAGCTGCAGGACTGATATCATTTGGTCAGTCACTAAGGCACTGAACGGTCAGAAACATGACTGGCGGAGGGCAGCAATATCAGTAACTAAAACGGTAGTTGGATGGGGGCCACTGAAATACCCACTGACACCGGTTTGGGCACTTTAAATATTCTTTTGATGAAGATTGATTTATACCGCAGACCAGGAAATGAACCAAACTCCATTTTACGGGGTATTTGTGAGTGAGTGAGTGAGTGACCCCCTCCCTCCCTCCCTCCCCTCAAATAAACCTCGCGTCTCCCCCCCGAGGGCCCCGGGGCTCGGGCCCCGGCACATTACCTCCCTCCCTGGCTCGCAGGGCTGCGGTGGACACGGCCCGCGAGTTCCACTGCTTGTCGTCGGCCGTCTCGTACTCCAGGAAGGACGGGAAGTTGGGCGGCGTCTGCGAGCGGCCCGCGGGGTTGGGGGCGCGGTGGTTGGGCCTGACATCGCCGCTCAGGTCGACCAGGCTGGGGATGGCCTTCACCCCGGTCTCCAGGTCGGCGTCCGCGCCCGCGCTCACGAAGCCGGAGCAGGGGTCGACGAGCGGCACGTCGCGGCGGAGCGGGGCCAGCGGGTAGTTGTCGTCGGGCGCCTCGGCGAACGGGCTCCAGCGGGTGAAGGCGGCCTGGCGTTGGTCCAGGAAACTGGTGAAGTAATGCCGGTCCTCGGGCCCTCTGACGAAGGGCATCAGCGCGTGGGCCATGGCGGCGCCTGGTCCCCGAGAGCCGAGGGGCCGGGGTGGTGGTGGTGGCGGGGTTGACTCTCGACGCCGACCCTCCTGCACTGAACACCGACCGCCACTCGGGCCCACCCGAGAGGCCTCGAAGAGAGTTGAAGGGGGAAAAAGAAGGAAGGAAGGGAGGAAGGAAGCGGCCGAGCCGCGGGCAGCGGCCCAGGGCCCACGAGGCGCCGCTGCTAGACACCCGGGGCCATTAAAGCAAAGCGACCGATCAGCGCCTTCAGTCCTTTAACTGTTACTGACCTCGGCGCCGGCCGCCGCGCGCGTCTCCTCCCGTTGCCAAGCGACGCGGACATAAAGGAACCGACCCCGACCAACCAGAGGCTGGGAAATGATCCGCCTGAGGGAGGGGCACACAGTCACCGCCCCGCCCCCCAGCCGCCACTAGCTGCTAGGCAACCGTCTGCCCCGCCCCCCAGCCTGCACGGGCTGCTAGGCAACCGTGTGCCCCGCCCCCCCAGCCTGCACGGGCTGCTAGGCAACCGTGTGCCCCGCCCCCCAGCCTGCACGGGCTGCTAGGCAACCGTGTGCCCCGCCCCCCAGCCTGCACGGGCTGCTAGGCAACCGTGTGCCCCGCCCCCCAGCCTGCACGGGCTGCTAGGCAACCGCCTCGTCCAGTTGCTAAGCCATCTGCCTCCCCCCCGTGAACCGCCTGCCCTGTCCCAACGGTGTCACTCGTTGCCATGAAAGCGATCTCTTTAAACCCCGTTCCCCCGCCTTCTGGACCACCGTCTCCTCCATCTTCCCTCACTCCCTCTCTTCCCTCACTCCCTCTCTTCCCTCACTCCCTCTCTTCCCTCACTCCCTCTCTTCCCTCACTTTCCATCTTCCCTCACTCCCTCTCTTCCCTCACTCCCTCTCTTCCCTCACTCCCTCTCTTCCCTCACTTTCCATCTTCCCTCACTCCCTCTCTTCCCTCACTCCCTCTCTTTCCTCACTCCCTCTCTTCCCTCACTCCCCATCTTCCCTCACTCACTCTCTTCCCTCACTCCCTCTCTTCCCTCACTCACTCTCTTCCCTCACTCCCTCTCTTCCCTCACTTTCCATCTTCCCTCACTCCCTCTCTTCCCTCACTCCCTCTCTTCCCTCACTCCCTCTCTTCCCTCACTTTCCATCTTCCCTCACTCCCTCTCTTCCCTCACTCCCTCTCTTCCCTCACTCCCTCTCTTCCCTCACTTTCCATCTTCCCTCACTCCCTCTCTTCCCTCACTCCCTCTCTTCCCTCACTCCCTCTCTTCCCTCACTTTCCATCTTCCCTCACTCCCTCTCTTCCCTCACTCCCTCTCTTCCCTCACTTTCCATCTTCCCTCACTCCCTCTCTTCCCTCACTCCCTCTCTTCCCTCACTTTCCATCTTCCCTCACTCCCTCTCTTCCCTCACTCCCTCTCTTCCCTCACTTTCCATCTTCCCTCACTCCCTCTCTTCCCTCACTCCCTCTCTTCCCTCACTCCCTCTCTTCCCTCACTTTCCATCTTCCCTCACTCCCTCTCTTCCCTCACTCCCTCTCTTCCCTCACTCCCTCTCTTCCCTCACTTTCCATCTTCCCTCACTCCCTCTCTTCCCTCACTCCCTCTCTTCCCTCACTTTCCATCTTCCCTCACTCCCTCTCTTCCCTCACTCCCTCTCTTCCCTCACTTTCCATCTTCCCTCACTCCCTCTCTTCCCTCACTCCCTCTCTTCCCTCACTCCCTCTCTTCCCTCACTCCCTCTCTTCCCTCACTTTCCATCTTCCCTCACTCCCTCTCTTCCCTCACTCACTCTCTTCCCTCACTCCCTCTCTTCCCTCACTTTCCATCTTCCCTCACTCTCTCTCTTCCCTCACACTTCCCATCTTCCCGGCCATCAGTGGGGTTGGCAGTGGAGCCCTGTGTGACCCGCACAGTGAGTCGCGTTGCAAAAGAAACCGTTTGTATTGCATTCAGTAATAAATTATGGGTCATTGTTGGCCAGGCCCCCGGGAGAAACTCCCTTCTCCTTTTGAGTAGTGCTGTGGTGTCTTCTAACATCCACCTGAATAGGCAGACATCTGGTTTAACATCTTATCCGAAAGACTGTCCCAGGACAATATTTAAGAAGAGGATGGGATTTCTTTACCTTTCCGACTAGCAATACTCCAGATAAATTGGTTATTAATGTTGTCGCTGTTTGTGGGACCTTACTGTGCACAATATTGCTGCTATGTTTATTTGTGAAACTGCGAAAACAGTCACTACACTTGATAATAAATAACATTTATATTCATTTAGCCCCTTTCATGTTGGAAGGACATATCAAACGATTTCACTTAGCTGGCAAGCCAGTAATTACCTTTGAATTGCATTGAGACACTTTGAATAATAATAATAATCCTTGCATTTCATATAGCACTTTTCACGTCTTCCAGACATCCCAAAGCGCTTCACAGGATATACTGTAAAGTGAATTGACTGTAATCTTGAGGGATTATGGATTGGGAATAAGTAAATTTGCCCAAGGTTCCTCCCTGCCGGGAATCAAACCCAGGTCTCTTGCTTGAGAGGTGGGCGCTCTAACCATTGAGCCACAGGACTCCACTTTGAAGTGAATCGATGCTATAATACTCCATTACAAGTGCTTTCTCCTTTCATTCTTCATAGCATACCCTTCCAAAATCCTTTAGCTATTTGAATAGTTTAGTGGGGATTACTGTACACCCACTTCCACTGAAAGCCAAAAGTGTGCATTGTCTTTGCCATGACCTGTATGTAATACTAACCCCACATTATCTTTAATCTCCCCCACACCCCCATCACACTTGCTGTGCATTGTCCTTTATGCAGTATCTTGCATTTAAATGCACTGAATTTCATGTGTCAACAATCCTCTCAGGTAATATCTTGGTTGCTTCCAATGAGGCTGCCTCCCACAATCAGCTCAGGTAAGATTTTGCTTGGATCGTAGTTGGGGAAGAGAGGGAGTCAGGGAAAATGGGGAATGAAGGAGAAAGGGGAGCCAGTGGTCCAGCAGGAGGACGAACGGGGTTGAAAGAGGACGGTTGCCTGGCAACCAGAGACACCATTGGGGCTGGACAGGCGGTTACCTAACAGCCAGAGATAACGCACGCGGAGTGGGGTGGGGAGGGGGCAGATTGCCTCGTAGCAAGAGGAGGCTGGGGGACAGGACTCGCCCCCGCCCCGTCACCTGTGGGTACCCCAGGGCTCCATCCTTGGCCCTTTTCTTTTCCTTATCTCTATGCCCCCTCTGGGCGATGCCATTCTCAGACATGGGGTAAACTTCCACACATATGCGGATGACACACAAATCTACTTTGTCTCCTTCAGTACCAACTCCAGGTCCGCCGATGTTCTATCAGCTTGTCTGGGAGATATCAAGGCCTGGATAAGTGCAAACATCCTGCAGCTGAATCTAGACATGATGGAAGCCATATTCTTTGGCTCCTATCAATGTCTTCACTCCTGCGGATCTGAACTCCTCAACCTCCCTGGACTCTCACTCAGACACACCGAACCATTGCACAATCTAGACTTCCAGTTGCCCCACAGCTGTCCTTCCTTACCCACATCTGGTCCCTGATCAGGACCGCCTTCCTACCTACCTACCTGCCCGTACCCTCCGTTCCTCTGGCTCCGGTCTGCTCCACATCCCCCGCTCCAACCGCCCTACCATCGGTGGCCGGGCCTTCAGCCTCTCAGCCCCGAGGCTCTGGAACTCTATCCCCCAGTGCCTTCGCCGCCTCCTCCCTTTCCTCCTTCAAGGCCGGTCTCAAGACCTTTCTCTTTGACCTTTCTCTTCAGCTCCCCTCTCGACTCTCTACCCCCCTCCTCGCTCCCTCCCTTCCCTCCCCTCACCCTGACCATTTCCCCCCTGCTTGGGTCCTGACCCAACTGTACAGCGCCTTGGGACGTCCTCCCGACGTGAAAGGCGCTCAATAAATGGAATCTTGTTGTTGTTGTTGTTGTTCCTCCACCTCCGCCCCATTGCCCGCCTCTGACCTTACCTTACCGCAAATGCAGCCGAAGCCCTCGTCCACACGTTTGTCACCTCCCGCTTGGATTACTCAAACGCACTCCTCGCCGGTCTCCCCAGCTCCTTTATTCAAAAAATCCAGCTCATTCAGAACTCTGCTGCCTGCATACTGACCCGGACCAAACTCTATATCCCCATGTCTCCAGTTATGTCCAGGCTCCACTGGCTCCCCATCACCGAACGGATCGACTTCAAGATCCTCACACTCGTGTTCAAATCCCTTCACTCCCTGGCACCTCACTACCTCTCCCACCTCTTCACTCCCCAATCCACCACCCAACGAATCCGCTCGACTGGCACCAGCTTCCTGCTTGTCCATCGCACTCTCTGCTCCACCATTGGTGGTCGCACATTCAGCCACAATGCCCCGAAACTGTGGAACACTTTCCCTCATTCCTTCCTCCTGGCCCCCTCTCTCCCCTTTTTCAATCCCACCTGAAAACCTTCCTTTCGACCGTGCTTATGGTCATCTTTCACCCCCACCATCCCAGATTCAGGCTCCGCCACTGTTAAGCCTGCTGAGATGCTGCCCTGGGTGGAGAGCGCTATCTATATAAGTGCAAGTTGTTGTTGTTGCTTCCCCTCGCTTGGTGTCATCTGCACATTTAAATATTTTACCCTGAGTTTAATATTAACCTTAAGCCTTTCAGCCATACAGTATTGTATCGATAACCATCCAGTCCTTAACTGGAGAGATCAGATTTCCCATTAGAAATTATCCATTGTTTGCGTGGAAGAGATGAGTGAGATACAATAACTGTAATATCCCACAAAAATTTAAGTACCTGTTGTAATTATAGAGGCAATATCTCATCAGAGCAAAAAACAACACTTAGCTATTAATGTATTTCTGAGTGAACAATTGTAATAGTTTATTTGCTGTAAGGTGTTTTGAAAAATGACTATGTTTTGGAAGTTTTTTTAAATCTCTCACAGCAACAAATTTATGTTTCTACTGCCTTTTA